TAATGATATGTCAATTCAAATTTCTTTTAAAAACTAAATTTTAGATATAAAATGAGTAAAAATGTAAACTTATCATAGGTTATTAATAACGAAAAGAAACTAATATTGTTCTATGAATAAATTGTTTTTTTCTATTGCCATTGTTTCATTTTTTCAAATGACAAGAATGTTTTTGTTAAAGAAATTACAAAAAAATCAATTTTCTTTAATATTAAAAATATGAATTATTTAACAAATTTTTAAAAATATATTATCAGTTTTTATGGGGTTATTTAACGGATCAACGGATATCATAATACAGATTAATAGCGGGTTTTAAGATATATACCGGGTTGACTAAATTTTTAATTAGTAAATTTTTAATTAAATCTTAACTGGATTATATTAAAATTGTCGGATGTACTGATTCAACTATGGGTCTGGGTCGGATAAGGAAACATTACGTGAAAATCAAACATTATAATAGAACTTTTTTAAATATTAATATAACAATTTTAAAATTTTTGTGTTTGAATAATTAATTTAAATAATTTTTATCAAAATGGTAAAAAGATATCCGCGCTTTTAAAGCGCGGATGAAAATCTAGTTGAATCTTATAACAAAAAAAAAGCTAAACTTTTGTTGTTTGCGATATCGTTAATAATTACATCCAGATATTTATGTAGACACGAATACAAAAGACAAACATTGAAGCAATGAATATTCGACATTATTTCTAATGCAACTATATCTTCAGAAAAATTGATGACATAAGGGACGAGAGAAAAATGGTGAAGGTAGACATGACGGGTTTAAAGTGGACAAAAGTAAAGGGTAAGGCGCAGAGGTATACGCAAAGCGTAAGGGCTACCGTGGCGATATCTTAGTAGTCCATGGATGTTCTATTTGTATATACGGGTATGAGTACGTCTACGTACATGCCAGTATTTTAATATATTACTTTCAACAAAAATTGAGAAAAAGTAATTTGGATATAATTATTTATATAGTTTTTATTTATTTATATATTTTCGATTAAGTTAAACACAAACTTGTAAGAGTAGCCAGTATCTCTTTTTTAAACGAAGCTAGTATCTTTCTATAGCCGAAGTTAAATTTGGTCTGCTTCAAACATCGTATATGAGTCATCTAAGTTATCGATTCTGAATTGATCTAATATCCTATTTTCAGTCCAAATATTATAGGTCGTACTTATTCAGATACAATATCAGTGAAGCGGACGTTTATCTTATATATATATATATATATATATATATATATATATATATATATATATACACACATATTGAATTGTTAATTTGATCTTATGTTGCATGTAACGATATCAACTGATTTATAAAAATACGTTCTCTTAAGAGAATAAAAAGTTTAAGAAAATACTAATTAGTTGTAGAGCGTAATATATTGGTAAACGTGTTTTCTTTGTTATCCACTCAACAAACATGTTAACCCAAAAAATTGAAACATTGAAAAGAAAACGGAATTAAAAAAAATATTGAAAACGAAGACATGAGGCAGAGGAAGAGAAAGGTTTACGCAGAAAACTTTAAAGATGACGTAAAGGCTCGTTATTGGCGGAAAGAATAAAAAAACGTTGCTTTGAACTGTTAAATGTTGACACGTGGCAACATGTGAAGACAACCCCGCCGCTCAAACCACGAATGGTGACGAAAGGTTTCTTGTTTGCATGTGCAACCAATCTCTCTCTTTAACTATTTTTGGTTCATCTTACAAAATTATGGTGAATTAGCTGGATAACTGTAGTGGAACAAAATTTTACCACATATCTACGTAAATTTTTTTTTTTTGGTCAAGTACTTATACAAAATGTTAGTGATATGATAAGGGAAAATTTGCTCAATAACCAAATTTAGAAGTTAAATTAAAAATCTATCATTGATTTTGACATAATAAAGTTTCTAACATTTACTCCCTTATTAATCCGGTTATACCCTTCCCTTTTGCAAGTAACCAGTTAAAGATAAGAAGAGTGAATGACGTTGTTGGATGTAGTTGCAGATATGAACCACATATACGTAAATATAATTATGTCATTGAATGAAATCCACGTCCACATGCTATATAGAATAGTAAATGTTTAAATAGTATAATATACTTCAATGTATATTAATGAGTTCTTTGCATAACTGTATTTTGTAAATTAGAAATAATCGACGTTATATGTATATGTTTAAATAGTATAGTATACTTTAGTGTATATTTTCATTAGTTGTAATAATCTACTTTTAAATGTAATATAATCATTATAAACAGAATATGAGAAGTTTGTCTAAAATCTATATTTGTATGGGTGTGATTAATGAAATGATAAAAGAAAGTTTCTAAATACTTAATTTTGATCAATATGCGTAAATTAAGATTCATATTAATGATATAAATACATAATGTATAATTATTCACTATAAAATCGTATTTCTATTCTATGTTCTGGGAATAGAATAGAACAACACAATATTATATTGTAACAATTAGTAAAGGTAAGGAGACTTCTCAGCTTCTACCGTTGGCTCATATTCTGTTTCAAACAATTTTATTGGGAGGTCGAGTCATTCATGACAACCTGATAATACAAAAGACAAAACACAAATATGTTATTTTCAGTACAATGTTCCATATCAAGTATTCTCTAAAATCAAACGTTTGTAATATAGAATAGTACATTACAAAATAAAATAGCTATGTCTTAAATGTGTGGATACACTACATTGTATTGACATAGTATGGTCCCTAAACAATAAATCCTAGCCACCAGATTAAATACTAAAATACAAGACAAACTCGTAATTACTAAATCTAAACCCTACGCACTGATCTATAAACGCAAATAAAATCTATATAATATGCTTCAAATTTATCTTATTGTAGTATTAATAGTATGGAACCTTTATAAACAGTGTAGCTGGTGCATTTTACTCCCTTGTAATTAGTTGCTATATGCATAAGTACTAAACCTGAAGCTAAACCCCTACTTAGTAAATCTAAACCCTAATCCCTAATCTATGAACCCAAATATAATCTATATACTATGTGCCCTCTATATATGCAAATTTATCTTATTGTAGTATACATGGAACCTTTATAAATAGTGTAGCTGGTGCATTTTACTTCATTGTAATTAGTTGTTATATGCATAAATACTCAACCCGAAGCTAAACCCTTATTTAGTAAATCTAAACCCTAATCTCGGATCTATAAACCCAAATACATTCTATATACTTTAAATCCTTTCTATATGCCGCTTTAGTCATATAATGAAGTATTTTGTGAGACCACACCATATAAGTGGGAAATTTAATTAATTCTATGTGAGACCATATAGTAACACAAGTTATATGCGCAAGCCATCTATGTAAGTAAGGATATGTATGATTTATACAACATGAGTGAATAGTCTAGAATGTATGACGCTTATTCTATGTGGATGCATGTTAGGGAGACTACTCGTTGCAAGACATATT